CCGCTTTAAGATGGGTGGAAAGCAACTCCCAGAATGCTTTCTCCTCCCATTTCCGTCCCCTCCCCTCCCACACTGGCTGGGGAAATCTGGGAGTTGAAGTCCACACCTCTTAAAGTGGCCGAGGTTGAGAAACGCTGCTCTAGAGAACCAAGTCTGCCCGTTTGTTCTCAATTTCTCAAGGGCTGGTTCTGCAGTCTGGATTCCCAAATCTAAATTTCAGATTGGAATGTTTTGCTTGGAAAAGCTTAATTTAAGGCCTTTCTTGTAATTGGCACGAGCAAATCTGCAAAGTCCCAGTCCCTGGCAAAACGAAGCTATTATTCTGCAGATACCTTTTCAGGCTCCCCTGAAAGTGGACATCCAATAGTCTCGTGCAACCTTCTCTTCCTTAAACTGGATTTACACACACACACATACACACACATATATTATATGTATTTAAAAAAACTCCCCCCATTGATTTGTCCCAGGCCATCAGAAGGTGTTCTCTGCTCAGACATGCCTTCTTGCTTGAAAACACCAACCCGAAGTTGGCCCTATGCTGTCCCCCAGCCTCCCCATCTTCTTAGAGTGATTCTGAGGAGGATATGGAGAAGGGGCTGTGCATATGTAGCCAAGATCATTTTTTAAAAAATCATAAGCAGAAATTGGAAGCTGGACTGACGTTGGATAGCCCTGCCCATATTCGCCAAGCCACCTGCTTTCCCTGACCCATCTCTCTGCCCCCCAGGATGATCTTTGCTGAGTGTTCCCCCAATACATGTCCCTGCGGGGAGCAATGCTGCAACCAGCGGATTCAGAGGCACGAGTGGGTGCAGTGCCTCGAACGCTTCCGGGCTGAGGAGAAAGGTTGGGGCATCCGTACCAAGGAGTCCCTGAAAGCCGGCCAGTTCATCATTGAGTATTTGGGAGAGGTGGTCAGCGAGCAGGAATTCAGGTAAGAGCTGGCTGCGGGCACGAGGGATCGTTCTGGAGCCACCCTGCGCAGGAAAGGACGGCGGGGAGAGAAATGCCGAGGCTGCCCCTGCCGAGAGTGTTGGCTTTTCAGGAACCGGATGATTGAGCAATACCACAACCACAGCGATCACTACTGCCTCAACCTGGACAGCGGGATGGTGATCGACAGCTATCGCATGGGCAACGAGGCCCGTTTCATCAACCACAGCTGCAACCCCAACTGCGAGATGCAGAAGTGGTAAGTGCGCCACGGCTGCTGGCGGAAACTGTGCCCCGTCTTCGGGCGCGCGGGAACACAAATCGAAGCGCAGACGCGAGCATTCCGCTCGAAAGCATGCGAAGAAGTCCATCAAAACGCCTTAGTGAGTTTTTACTTCTGAACGACCCATCCGTTTCCTTCCCCCTCTTTCCCTACAGGTCCGTCAACGGCGTCTACAGAATCGGGCTCTACGCTTTGAAGGACATGCCTGCTGGCACCGAGCTGACGTACGACTACAATTTCCACTCCTTCAACGTGGAGAAGCAGGTGAGGGCTTGGGGTCTCTGTTCCAGATCATCTTCTGCATCCCCTGAGGTTGCCAGGGCGATCCTTGCACTGAATTTAAGCCCTTCCAGAATGTCTTGAAAATTGTAAATAGAAGTTGACCACGTATGTATGGAGAAGCTGTAGATATTGATCGATATTGATATCGGTTACGGTAGGGATGGGGAATTATATGCAACTGAAACCCAGCCTTGGACTCTTCTAACCCTAACCCAAAATTTTAAACTCCAACGATCATACTTAAGGATGCTTCCTGATTCCGCAAGGTCTCCAGTTGAAGGGAATTAAGCAATTTGAGCCCACAGTCATTTCGTCTCATTTGCACCCCATGTCTTCTTCCAAAAGGCAACACAGCAAAGCCAAACTCGCAACCTCCAAAGCGTTCCACCAAGAAAGGTGGCAAGGGGGGGAAAAATCTAGTCTGACCATAAAACGCATCAGCGGTTTGTCAGTAACGTTTCACCCGAATTCGAAATCCAAAGGAGGCGAAAGAGTGGAGTTGAAGAACCAGTAAAACCCATTAGCCAAAGGGAGCAACCAAGGGGTTTTAGGGGTCTCCACCAGTGCTGGTTATGGTGGGTCTATTTCACAACAGCCACACAGAAAGCGGTTGAACACGAGTGCGCAGGTTGGTCTATTGCTCGGAGCTGCTTGGGCTCCCCTGTTTCGCGGAGGGCCACCCACTTAAACACAGGCCACGTTTTTCTTTCCCAAGCAACTCTGCAAGTGCGGCTTCGACAAGTGCAGGGGGATCATCGGAGGCAAGAGCCAGCGAATGAACGGCCTGCTCAGCAAAGCCAACCAGACGGTCACGGCCCAGAGGCGGCCAAGCCGGTCCAAAGAGAAGAGGAAATCCAAGCACAAGTTGAAAAAGAGGGTGAGTGTGCCCCAAACGTTCACCATTGGCTTTTAGCTTCGGTCGGAGGTACGCGAGGCTCAAGGACGCCGTCCCGGCGTGTCGATTGAAGGTCTCCGGTTCCATCCCAAAAGCATTTCAGAGAAAGGTACTCGTCAGAGACCTTCGCAGATTGGCTTCCCGGGAATGCCAAATTCACACCTTCCTTTGACCTGGCTCTGTCCTTAAACGTTCCTTCACTGCATGAGCATCTTCCCAACCGATTGCAGGAGATCGTGGTCCTGGTTGATCAGTGCCACGGAGAGACCTTTCTCCTGCCTTTGTCGAAAGGGAGCAGATGGGATTACAGTACGTTCGTGTGCCCTTTCCCTGCGTCGCTTCATCCAGTCCAAATGACTAACATGGGACACATTTGCACCTAAATATCACCCCAGTCGTAGCTTGAATTAGGAGCCAATGTGGGAAAGCAGGAAGCTCCCATTGGCACTTCTGCCCTTCCCCTCGATCACCAACTGCCCCCATGAACGTTTCAGAAGTTCCCCCAAACTGCTGTTTTGTTTGTAGCGTAGTGAAACCATAAATTTTAACTCTCTAGACCTTGAGATTCTTTTCCCCCCCCCCCAAGATTCCCTCTTCAAAGAGATGTTGCTCTTGTTTTTCAGAAGGGCCACGTTCCTGAAGAGCCCAGTGAAAACTCAAGCCCCCCAACTCGGTTGACTCCCCAACTGCAGATGAAGCCCATGTCCAACAGGGAAAGGTGAGGAGAAAGGAAGGGCTGTTTTTTTCTCAGCCTCCGCTCTTTCCAGCCTCAACACCAGGGTGAGCAAATCCTTCATCAGGGCTGTATTGCCACTTAGGTTGTGTGTCTTGCAACAGTGCTATGGGCTAAGGAACTCTCGAGCCTCAGCACGGTGCATCAGGATTGACCAGTCCTGGTTTGCGACAGCTTAGCCGGCCAGCAGTGGGAAACGTGGTTGGCTGGTTGGTTGGTTCTAATATGCAAGTTAACTCTACAGCCCAAAAGTTGTGGAGCAATAGATTAGGGAAGCCAAGCAGTTCACACTAGGTTAGCACTAGGAGCTTGCCTGCTGTCCTAGAATTGTGGAATTGGAAGGAACCAGAAGGATTATCTGGCCCAGTGTGTAGGAAAAGCAGTTAATCATGCTTGAGAGGGAGCTGTCCAACCTCCCCCTAACACTGTCAAGAGATGGAGAACCCACAGCCTGCGTGTCGGAATCAAACCTTTAAAAGGAAACGAGTCTTTGTGCCTGGCCGCTGATTCTCCCTAGCCTGAATTTTCCTCCTGTAAGCTGTAAGCCCTCGAAAGCAGCGACCCCTTACTACTGCCGTCTCCAGCAACGGCTAAAACTTTTCCCCACTTGCCCTCGTTTCTCAGGAAGTCCTCCTTTCCGCTGTCTCACTTTTCCCCCCCTCCTTTCTAGGAATTTTGTGCTAAAGCACCACGTTTTCCTGGTGCGCAATTGGGATAAGATCCGGCAGAAGCAGGAGGAAGTCAAGCACGTCAGCGACAACCTTCACTCGCCCTCGCTGTACACCCGCTGGAATGGGATGTGTCGGGACGACGGCAACATCAAATCCGGTGAGGGTCAGCTCTCTGAACCCCCTTCTCCGAGCACCTCGAAGTCACTGCCCCCCAAAAGGGGCTTTTCATAAGTAAAATGCAACATCCTCTCTCTTTCCCCTCCTTTTCAGATGTCTTCATGACCCAGTTCTCCGCCCTGCAAACGGCCCGCTCGGTCAGGACCCGACGGTTGGCTGCCGCCGAAGAAAACCTCGAAGTTGCCCGGGCAGCCCGCCTTGCGCAGATCTTCAAGGAGATTTGCGACGGCATCATCGCGTACAAAGGTGACAGCAGCCGAGGAGCTGAGGTCGGACCCACACCTTTGGCAGGGTCTCCCTGAGCCCAGCACAGGTTCCCCAGGGCATGAAACAGGAAAGGACAGGTTGAGTTGCAGGGGTTCGATGCTGTAACTCTTTACTTTTCTTCTGGAGCTGTTAAATCCAGATTACTGATTTACTTCGTCATGGGATCAGATTCTCTTCTTCATCTGCTGCTGATGGCCTTTGGGGAATGCGTGCTATTTTCTCCATCCCAGTCTTCAGCATTGCCCTTCCTAATAAATATTGACAGACTATGCAGCACTGTAAGGATCTGGGGCTGGATGGTCTTTCAGGTCCCCCAACAGCGTACTCACTGCCGCTGTGATTGAATCCGTCCCCCTTGCTGCTGGTCGTCCTTTTCTCTTCTTTCCTTCCACCTTTTCCTGCATTATAGACTTCTCAAGGGAGCTGGTCTCTGCAGAAGGTTGTCCTGGTAGAAGGTTCTAAATCAGGGCTTAAGCAGTCATTCCTCCGTCCCTCCCCAACATGGTTCAATTTATAGTTTCCATCCCCGGTCATCAGCCACCCTAAACTGGAGTTCCAGTCCCATGGCATTCAGAGGAATGCCGGCTGGGCTGAAGCCCATCTGGTGACATCTCAGAGGCTTTGTATCTCTCCAACATCCTCACGGCTCCTTTCCTTGTTTACTTCCAGATTCCTCCAGGCAAGTCCTGGCAACTCCTTTGCTGATTCTTCCCCCGAAAAAAAAGTAAGTCCTCTTGCCTTCTTGCCAAAGGTGACTGGGTTGGCGGAGGCGGCCTTGCCATTCATGTGGAACGAATGTCCAAAGCGAGCCGGCAGTCACTTTCTGTGTTTCCAACCTCTCTCTGGTTCAGAAATGCCGATTACTATGAGAAGATCTCCGACCCCCTCGACCTCACCACCATTGAGAAGCAGATCCTGACGGGGTATTACAAAACGGTGGAAGCTTTTGACGGGGATATGCTGAAGGTCTTCCGCAATGCCGAGGTGAGTCGGCCGCGGGGTTGCCTAGAGGTATTTTCTTCCCCCAGAACCTCCATTCCCTGAGCTTCTTTTTTTCCCATGCTAACGGAACCAGGAAGATTTCCCTTTAGGGCTAGGAATAACATGGGCCCCAGGAGCAGAGAGTCTAGTGTGACCAGGGGCACGCAAGGGAATTCCATGGCAAGGAAAGCCAGGAATTTGGGAATGCGTTCCCCCGGAGGAGACGACCGTCGGCTTTTTGTTTTGCGGCAGAAATACTACGGCAGGAAGTCTCCGATTGGGCGGGACGTCTGCCGCCTGCGGAAGGCCTACTACAACGCCCGCCACGAAGCCGCCACTCAGATCGACGAGATTGTGGGAGAGACGGCAAGCGAGGCGGACAGCAGCGAGACCTCCATGTGCGAGAAGGAGAGCGGGCACGAGAAAGACGAGGACGTCATCCGCTGCATCTGCGGCTTGTACAAAGACGAAGGGCTCATGATCCAGTGCGACAAGTGCATGGTGAGCGCATCAAGGAGCTTCTGCCCTCCCCGGGCCCTCGGGAGAGGGGCAGGCTTCGCGCTACAGATCTCCAAACGAGAGACCAGCCCCCAGGGTTCCACCCTCACTGGAACCAGCAGGATCCCCTGCTCTGAAATGTAGGAGTTGGCAGCACCCTGTTTGGTGGAATCTCTTTTGAACTTCTTGCAAGATACAGCAGCCTTCAGTAACCGAAGCAGCTAGGTCAGCACTACCAGCTTCGGCTGAAATTAGCCTGAAATATCCCAGGCTTCTGAGCAGGGAGATTCTGCTGTTCTTTTGCTATTTGTTTCTCCCTGTGCCTGGGAAGTCCGGCTTTGAAATGCAGAAGGATGAGCTGCGGTCCCTAAGCGTGGCTTTTATGCCAACCCTTTAGAGAGGCAAGATTTCTTTCTCGTTTTTTTCTGATCCCTCCCTTTTTCTTGTAGGTTTGGCAGCATTGTGACTGCATGGGAGTGAACTCGGACGTTGAGCACTATTTGTGCGAACAGTGCGAACCTCGCACGGTGGATAGGGTAAGCTGGGTTCAGCCAGTGCACCTTGCCAAGGGGGTTGTCAGCGTCGTCTCATCCTTCGGTTTCACGAATGTGCGGTTTGAGAACAAGGGACCCGGGTTGTCCAACAGCTTTTTCCCCTGCAAGAATCATTAAGAATTGTAAACTTCTGCCTGCTGGAGAAGGCTTTGCAAGATGGTGGTCTTTGGGGTGGCCAGGAGAGAAGACACCCCTTCATTGGAACAAACCAGCGCCAAACAGGCCCCCTTCCAAGCACAGTTGCTGAAAATCAGTTCTGTGGTTTCCAGCCCGTTTGTGGGGAGGCAGGAAACATAGCAGAATTGCAGCATCAGCCTTGTAAACCCAGCTTGAATTTGACAAAGCGGAGGGGGGAACCCCACCAAACTCAAGCACCCAGGAAAAATTCCTTTAAATATTATTTCCGCTGCAGCCCTCACGTTCCTCAAAAACATTGCAGCTCCCAGGCGCCAAAAGGTCACATCTCCTTGTTGCTGGCCTGCCACCAGCAGAGAGATTGAGGGGGGCAAAAGAAAAACCCACCTGAAAGCTAAACGGGCTAAAAGCAGGAGCTTTTGCCTGACTTTGTTAGAGAGCACGGAGGCCTTCTCTGTTGGATTCACAACAGAGCTCCTAAAAGCAGCTTCCTCTTCCCTGGCCCAGCACTTGAATTACTTCCTGTGGCAGGGCTGCGAACCGTCTGGGAGATCACCTGTCCCTCTCTCTAAACAACTGAATTCTGTGGGATGGGAAAACGCCGACTTTCTCACTGGCCCTTTCTGGTATTTGCCTCCCTGCAGGAAGTGCCAATGATTCCCCGGCCTCACTACGCTCAGCCCGGCTGCGTTTACTTCATCTGTCTGTTACGGGATGATCTCTTGCTACGCCAAGGTGGGTGTCTGCCCCTCGGGGAGTGAGAGACAGCCAGGAGGGCTTTGGGATATCTCTTGCCCTTCCCCAGGGTGTTCGGGTCTTGAGCCTGTCTCGTTCACTGGTGAGGGTGTCCAAGCACAGGTAAATATGAAGCTGCCTTTAACAGGGTGTCCTGGAGCGCTGGGCCTGCCCCAGCATTGAGACTTGCCCACTAGGAGCGTTCCTTGGTTTTCTGGTTCGGCTACGGGAGCAACAGTGATCACTGTAGCTGGAAACCAAACTTAGTCTGTGCGCCAACGTGGGCACAGGGTGCTCAGCTTACCTAGATACGAGGCCGGGTAGTCTGAGCCGAGGAATTACTCATCCGGGAACGCAACGGCTGCGTCTCTCCTTTTCGGTTGTTTCTCTTTCGACTGTCCGTTTCTTTTTTTTCTTTTCCCCCACACATGCTTTTTCTCTAATGCCTCCCTCTTGTACATGAGGGATGACCTTTTGACACGGGAAAACCAGAATTGGACAGAAGAGAGACCGCTCAGTAAATGGCATCTCCACGTCCAGCCCCAAGGACGCAGCATGGGGAAGGTGGCCACCTTCTTCTGTTGCTTTTGGGTTAGATGGAGCCGTAGTCTGATCCCATTGGGATTCTGTCTTGCACCTTCCCTTTTTTTTTATTTCTTTTTTTTTTTTTTTATACCCGGGCCAGGGTATTGAGGCCCTTCTCTGTTTCCTGCCCGCAGGAGACTGTGTGTACCTGATGCGAGACAGCCGAAGGACCCCCGACGGCCACCCCGTCCGGCAGTCGTATCGCCTGTTGTCCCACATCAACCGTGAGAGGCTCGATATCTTCCGTATTGAGAAGCTCTGGAAAAATGAGAAGTGAGTCTGTCCCTCTCCTGCAGGAAAAGGAGTCGGATCCCGTGCCTCTCAGCCGGGCTGGAGTTGAATGACGAACATGGAGAATTTTCCCTGTTTCTTTTGACCAGCAGATAGCGGTTCTTGAAGATATAAAATCTTCCCCTAGTGGATAGCCAATTTGCCCTCATCCCTTACAGCGGCGTTTCTCAAGCTTGATCACTGTAAGTTGTGTGGACTTCAATTCCCAGAATTCCCCAGCCAGCTTGGCTGGCTGGGGAATTCTGAGAGTTGAAGTCCACACATCTTAAAGTGGTTGAGATTGAGAAACACTGCCTTAGAGCAATGATCAGTAACCAAGAGCTCTCACTTCTAATTTAAAAAGCTCCTCCAAGACCTGTGTTGGTTGCACAAAGGAGCCTCCTCTTATGCTGCACCAGCTTTACGGGGAAATCCCTGTTTCTCGCCTTCCTGCAGGGGGGAACGGTTCGCCTTCGGCCACCACTACTTCCGCCCACACGAAACGCATCATTCCCCCTCCCGGAAGTTCTACCACAACGAGCTCTTCCGGGTGCCGCTGTACGAGATCATCCCTCTGGAGGCCGTGGTGGGGACCTGCTGCGTGCTGGATCTCTATACTTACTGCAAAGGCAAGTCAGCAGAACCACAGGAGGGGCTTTCTCCAAACTGCACTTGCTCCCAGCCTGTCGGCCTTGCAGGGTAAACCAGATACAAATCACAACCGGATGAGCTAATTCGACTTTATGGTAAAACTGCATTGACAGAATCTTGCAAGTCTGAAAGTACAGTTCTCCCTCCGTCTCCTTTACAGCCCGAGAAACTAGGGAGGGTCCCTTCTGAGTTTCGTTCTCCTTCCATTATGCAGCTGAGGGCTAAGCCGTCTCTTATCTGACCGTTCCCCAGGCAGCGTCTCTTGGCCTAGTCTCCCAAGGTCTTTCCCACATACCATCACACAGCCTGCCTGAGCTCTGAGTGAGTTATCAGAGCTCTTCCAACACTCCTAAGAACTAGTGTGGTGGAGTGGTTAAAGTGTCAGACTAGGATACCTGGTTCAAGACCACCCTTAGCCCCAGTAACTTGGGGAAGGGGGGCAGTTGGCCATTGGTCTCTCTTGTTGCAGCCTGCGTCCTGAAGTCACTGTTGTTGCAAACGAAGGCTGATCCCTGTGAAAGCTCCCTTAGACCCTCGAGGGGAAGAAGAATATGAATCAAACACTTTAAACTCTGGCCTGGAAAAAGGCTTTTTGAGCAGTCACCCCCCCCACACACACACCAGTAGAAGGAAGGGCCTGAAACGGTGCCCTGTGGACTTGGGGCTGAGATGGTCTCGGGGCTTCTCCCTGCAGGAAGACCAAAAGGGGTGAAGGAGCAGGATGTGTACATCTGCGATTACCGCCTCGACAAGTCGGCCCACCTCTTCTACAAGATCCACCGGAACCGCTACCCGGTGTGCACCAAATCGTACGCTTTCGACCACTTCCCGAAAAGGCTGACGCCCAAGAGAGACTTCTCAGTAAGCGGCGCCCTCCTGTAATGCCCGACGTGGCCCTCAGCAAGGAAGCCACCGGGCCCCTTGACCCTCTCCCTTTAATCGGTCTGATTCGTTCCTTTAAAAAATAGCCATCTTCATCAAGGTTTTCCTCCATATGTTCGGAGGAGCTGTCCTAGGCAGTCATGCTCCTTGGTCTACGACCAGAGCTTTCCCTAGCCCAGCCCTCCCTGGGATGACCTCTCTTTAAATGATGAACCCCAAAGCGCCATGGAGGTTTACCGCGATTTGCTTTTTCCATTTCAGCCTCATTACGTCCCAGACAACTACAAGAGGAACGGAGGCAGGTGAGTCCCTTGAGGGTCGTGCGCTGATGTCAGCCCTTCGAGGTAGTCCAGGCCAGGAAACCAAATTCTGAGATGCTTTCTCCACCCCCATGCCTCCTTCGGACTTAGCTTTCTCTTATCAGAACTTTGTCTAGGCCAGGAATGGCAAACCTTTTGGGCTCAGCATGTCAAAAATTCAGAAAATGCCTGACTTGACTCGGCTGGCATGTCACACACACGCCCCACCCTGAACAAAAGAGAAACCATTCTTTACATGTTCATTTATTTAAAAAAAATGCAGTCCAATCACGTGGGGTGCTATGTATTATATAAAGAAACGTCAGATAATTGCAAAAATGAAGCATGAGTAAAACAAACTCAGTTTATTGAGTAACTCAAACGGAGAACAGTCGTCGGGTGTTGGTAAACGCTGGCGGGTCACCCAAAACGTGGCGTGTCACCTTGGACATGCACGCCATAGGTTTGCCATCACTGGTCTAGGCTGTGGCTCTTCCTCCTGTCCCCCAAGGTTATTCTCACAGCGCATGACTTTTGCGTCTTTCACGCCACATCTTCTTCCTGCCTGTCTCATTCTTGCAAGGCTCTCAGGTTCAGGTTCTCAAGAGCACCTTCAGTTCTTCCATCTTGGGTGACCCTTGGGGGGGCCACGCATCACCTCCTTCCAACTGGAAAGAAAGCCCCCCCCACGCTCTTGGAGGCCCTCCGGCCTCATTTCTCCATGTTCTCCTCCCCAGGTCCTCTTGGAAGTCCGACCGTTCCAAGTCCCAAAATAAAGACCTGACCCAGGAGGAAGAGCCCCTTCCCCTTCTGGAAGAGGTGATCGCCAACCCCGAGCAGCCTCCTGGCGAGCAGCCGGCCCACCCAGAGGAACCGGAGAAAGAGGCCCCTTCCCAGGAAAACGGCGAAGTGGATAAAAAGGTGGAGGAGAGCAGCCCGGTGCCCAGAGGGCCTTGCACCCCGGAAGAACACCGGCACATGCAGCGTGAGCGGCTGAACCAAATACTTCTCACCCTCCTAGAGAAAATCCCAGGAAAAAACGGTAAGGTTTCCAGCAGGCCCCCATCCTTTCTCCACAGACCCTTTCGAAAACCAGCGCCTCGCAGTTTGCTCTGCCGATGTCCCTCCCTCCCTTCCTTTCCCCGCAGCCCCCTTGCCAGCAATACGTTTGGGGAGATGGCCACTAGCAATGCTCCTGAAGTCCCCGTTGGACTCCCCAAAGGAATCTGGGTCCCCCCCTCCTGGGTTCCGTGACCCACCGGCTTTGGGGTTCTGGCTTTGCTTTTCTTAAAGTTCCTTTTCATTGCGATTTGCTGCAATTGAGCCAACTTCTCCCGTCCCTCCCAACCGCTTGGGAAGAGCGCCTGCCCCCAAAAAGGGTTTCCGAATTCCAGCTGGACTCTCCAGCCCCCCGCCCCCCAAGCGCCCCTTTGCCTGCCGAAGGTCTGGGTTACGTTTCCCGCTGGGAGAGACCCCGGAAGGCCGTGGCGCCGTTCCGCTCGAGGGCTCCCGAGGTCCACCCCAGCCTACAAGAAGCCCTCTTAGCCTTTGCGGTCGGTCTCTGCTTCCCCGCTGCAGCCATCGACGTCACTTACCTGCTGGAGGAAGGATCGGGGAGGAAGCTGCGGCGTCGCACGCTGGTCCTCCCAGACAGCAGCTGCAGGAAGTGAGCCTGTGGCCCCGGATGCAGGACGCCGAGTGGAGTTCTCCTGTGAGCCGGGCGTGAGACTGACCGCTGGGCAAGGCTTTGACCGCCTTCCCGCGCCTCTCAGCGAGCTTGGAGGAGGCGGCGGAGCAGAAGGAAACTGACGAAACGGTTCTGTAGCACTTAGGCCCTGCGCTTGGGCAGGCAAGCCGCCGCTCTCCCCCCCAAGGAGCGTGCAGCGCGATGCGCGGGGAGCCCGGCATGCCTTCTTGTCCCTGTTAAGGTACTAAAGGAAAACCTTGGGGTTTTTTGTCCTGGGGACGGTCACAGTTTTAATTTAATTTATTGGGTTTTTTTTTTTTTTACCCCCCTGCCCCACCCCGCTCTGACGGCCGCGTTCAGAGGAAGGAAA